TCGTGGAGTATGTACATAAGCTATACTAAAGACAAACCCACAGTAACCGTCTCCAGTTTGTGAAGGACCCCATGGAGCCAGTTTCTAGGAAACAGATAAATTCATGGAGGTTAAGTCCATTAATGGCTATTAGCCAGGATGGGTAAGGAATGGTGTCCCTAGCCTCTGTTTGTCAGAGGGTGGAGATGGATGGCAGGAGAGAGATCACTTGATCATTACCTGTTAGGTTCACTCCCTCTGGGGCACTTGGCATTGGCCACTGTCGGTAGACAGGATACTGGGCTGGATGGACCTTTGCTCTGACCCAGTATGGCCATTCTTATGTTCTTATGTTCTAACCTAAATGAACCCAAAGTTATGGAGACAGATATGAGTCAAGGAATCCATCAGAGTATCAGAAACCTGGAAAAATCTCTGACTGGATGGGCTCAGGCATTTGGTCACAAGCTGAGGTGGTTCAAAAATTTTAGATTTTTTTTAAGCAGAATTACTGTATTGTTTCTTTAAACAATCAAACACAGCAAGCAGCAAATATTTGGCCACACACTGTTCAGGTTTTGGCAGACTAATTTCAGCTTTTCAATTAAAAAAAACACAACAAATTTTGAAGGAAAGCAGACATTGTCTGTGATTTTTTCTGCTTTTTAAAAACCCCTAGTTTTCGATCCAAAAAAAAAGTTTTGACGGAAAATATTTGTCCAACCCTTTTAATGAGCGTTAGTGCCTTTTAGCACTAGCTGATGCTGAGAACCAGTGATACCTTGTAAAGGTGACTTGAAACGAAGTTTTCTCAAAACTGGGTTTGTGCCGAGATGCAGAAGGTTTTAAAATATTTATTTTTCCCAGGGCCGCCCGGGGGGTGGCGGGGGGGGGGAAAGTGGGGCAATTTGCCCTGGGCCCCACAGGGGCCCCCACGAGAATATAGTATTCTATAGTATTGCAACTTTTTTTTTATGGAAGGGGCCCCCAAAATTGCTTTGCCCCAGGCCCCCTGAATCCTCTGGGCGGCCCTGCCTCCAAGCATTCCTCCTTCCATTATTCTCAATCCCATGGACAGCTCTGAACCCAGGCATAATCTTTCACTTGGCCTTCTCTCTAGGTCCACACATCCAGGCTGCATTTAGCTCTTGCCTCTTCTTTCTGCATAACATCATAAGGGCAAGTCTACACTACAAAAGTAAGTCAACCTAAGTTATGTCAACATTCAGCCACCATAGTAATTAAATTGCTTTTGTGTCCGCAGTGTGCACTGTCACCAGGGGCGCTTGCACCATTTTAACTGCCAGTGTGGGGCATTGTGGGACAGCTTCTGAAAGGTAGTAACAGTCAACATAAGGAATGCAGTGTCTACACTGACACTGCGTCGATCTAACTACATCGACCTCAAGCGCTACACCTCTCACGGCGGTGGAGTTATTAAGTTGGTGTACTGGGCGAGTTACATTGGTGGGAGCTACACTTTAGTGTAGCCACTTACCGAGTCTGATCGGTGTAAGGCAGCTTACGTCAATCTAGCTCTATAGTGTAGACCAGGGCTAAAATAGGGCCTTTCTTCTCTGTCCACACAGCTAAAAGTCTCCTCCAGGCCCCCACTATCTTGCATCTTCACTACTATAACTTCCATCTGGCCTTGACGAATGCAATCTTAGGGTATGTCTATACTTAAAACGCTACAGCGGCACAGCTGCAGTGCTGAAGCTGTAGTGCTTCAGTATAGACACGCTCTACAACAATGGGTGGTGTACTCCCATTGCAGTAGTTAATCCACGTCCACAAGAGACAGTAACGAGGTTGACAGAAAATTCTTCTGTCGACCTAGCGCTGTCTACACCAGGGGTTAGGTCAGCATAGCTATGTCTCTCAGGAGTATGGATTTTTCACACTCCTGAGAAACGTAGCTAGAACGATGTAAATTTTCAGTGTAGACCAGCCCTTACTTCACTTCCATCCATTCAAAATGCTGCTGCAAAGCTCACTATCCTCCAGTGGTTAATTTGTAATGAAAGAGGTGCCAGTGCTCAAGCAATTAGGTGCAGGGGCTCAAGCAATTTTTTTACATTCATAACTGATGCAGCAAGCCCAGGGGTGCCGGGGATCTGCCCTGGCACAAATTAAGCACTGCTATTCTCCTATCTTGTTGCTTCAACCACATCACTTCTCTCTTTGCATCCCTCTATTGGCTCCTCCTTCTCCACTGCATTAAAAACAAACTACTTGCCCTCACTTATAAGACCTTTCACAGCACAGCCTATCCCTGCCCTACCTATAATTTCTTATGTAGCATCAAAACATCAGTTCCCACCTTTGTAATGCAAGTGATGCCAGTCTTAAGTGCCCATTTATAAAATTTTCTAACAAACACCTTTGTGCTTTTCTCCCTTTTTACCTCTTATGCATGGAAGGAGCTCCTGAAAATATCCTCAAAGCCACTGTTACTGTCATTTCAACCCTAACAGCTGATCCTCTTTCAGTATGGTTTGACTTTTCATAAGTACATAGTGCATTACTTATGCCCATGATAAAAAATAATAATGTAACTTTATAATTATTGGCAAGTATTTTATATGGGCATCTGCAGTATTGCTTCTTGGTGAATGGCCAACTAAACCATTAACAGAAACTAATGGTGTAGAAGAAAAATTTCCTCCAGTGCTACTTTCTAATTGCTAGAAAAGCAAACTAAAAATACACTTTGCAGATTTAGGGCCAGATCCTCAGCTGGTGCAAACAGATGTAACTCCATTGACTTCAATCACTCTGTGCTGATTTACAACAGCTGAGGATCTGGCCCATTGATTTCTGGAAAAATAAAAGCTTAGAAATAAACAAACAAATAGGATGAGACTTGTCTCAGTCTCCCCATTGATTTTATTTGTATTTTTAAAAGACTTGCAAAAAATCAGATAAAATAAATATCCGCTTACATGAAATTTTAAAATACGCTTGCTCCTTGCTCACATTTGATTGGTCTTTAAACACTCTACACCCACACAAGGTTGTATAAAGAATTAAAGAGTACATATTAAGCACACTCTTTTAAAAATTCTGGTGGATCCCTTTTTCCCAGGTAACCCCCATGACACCAGTGGCCAGATGATGTGCATTCCCCAGCTGCGCCACATGCAACAGTAGTTACCCCATGCCCCTCCTTGAGATGGCTCGGTATAACCATCCCCATAGAAAGCCCTCCATGAAGTCTTGTGAAAGGGGAAATATGCTGCATGCACAACTCATAATGGTTCTTCTTTATACTGAATCTTTTCTCAAATTCTCTTCCTTGATTCTCTCTTCACCCAGAATCTCACAGACTTCTCCGAGGAGAACAGTGATGCAATACAGAGATTTCACTCCGTTTTCACTATCCCTCTCCCCCTCACCATCCTCTCAACCCCTCCCCAACTTTCTCTCCCCCACCTCGGTCTCAGTCCCTCCAACTTGCAACCTCTAACCACTCAGCTGGTCCTCTTGTTCTATCCTCCTACCTGACTCTGGAGTGCATGGAGTACATAGTCCCCATGTCCACCCACTCTCTGCAGATGGTTTCTATGTATCTATGCTGCTCTATAAAACTGCAATAGTTCCATTGCTGTGGGGACCTTCTGTGGGCTCTGTGAGATGGGGTGGATTTCACTCTAAAAGAGGTATGAAATGGTAATTAGATAGTTTGCACTGCACGTTAAGAAAATACCAGGTGGAAGTGTAAAGTGACCTTTTAAAATAATGTTTTGATTTCAACTGGATAACACACCAATTTAATTTGTTTTGTTTTTTTCCCCAAGCTAATACAAATATCAACAGGGTCTGAAATACACCCTATAGTTTTCCAATGTCATGGGCAAGCAAGAGCAGATCAGATTAGGAGCACACCTCCCCACTGCTGGATGTGGTGAATTTCCAAATATTTTCCTGCTCTGCTTTGATTGGCACGGTGGAGACTTTGACTAAGAAAGCCAGTAGAACTCTTGTTAGATATTCATCAAAGTGTCCTGTTGTTATTAGAGATGGACCTGAGCCACCATGTTCAGATCTGGACTTTCCCAAAATTTGGGTTATTTGAATCTAGGATTTTAGTTCAACCTACAAAAGAGATAGGGCCAGTCATAATGTTTGGACCTGGACTCAAACTTTTCCAAACTTTAGGGATTATCTGATCTAGGGATTTGGTTTAAATTTATCTCAAGTTATTATGTACAATTGTCCTTTTGTTTCATACAGGAAAGTGGGATTTTGTTTTTGGCTTTTTAGAAATTTTATTCATTGTCTATTCAGTGCAAGTACAAAAGACAAAATCCATTCTTCTGTTAATAGTTGTGCCATTGACTCTGTAATTTTAAAGGAAAATGAATACTTTCTTTCTATGCATATAATAGAAAAATATAAATAGGACTTAAGTTTCATCAAATCTTTGTATGCATTTAACATAGATGATATGCTTCATTCTAAACTTCTGAATACTATTTTGAATTATGAACAGAAAGAAGAGGTGTTTTTCCCCCCAGTGGTGCTTGCCAAATTTTATGGATCAGATGTTTGTTGGACCAAATCAGAAGTACATTGTAAGAGATGTAGCACAGTGATAGATTATATATATAGGCCCTCATCCAGAAAAGAACATTACCATGTGCTTAACTTTAAGCATGTGAGGGAGCTCACTGAAGTCAATGGGATTACTCATGAGCTCAATTTAAGCACGTGCTTAAGCGCTTTGCTGGATCATAGCCATAGTACAGAAGATAGACTTATGAGATACCATCAGTGAAATGTGTGTGAATATTTATAGTAAGTTAAGTTAACATACAACTCTCTTCCAGCAGATACTGTAGTCATTTACTATTGTGCCATTCAGTGGTTTCAGGCAAACAATCTTCAGTCTGAGTGTTCAAGCATTTGATTCTACGCAGAACTTTTAAGAACCTTCGTGCTGTGCTTAGAACCGGTATCAGAATTAGTTCAGAGGTCCCAAGATGAACATTGTAATTATGGTTCATATAAGAACTTTGCTATTTTCTCCAGAATGGGGAGCTTGGGGCTTTGTGGAAATGTCTTACATTTCTTTTCTCAGCTGCCCATTTGACTGATGGCCTTGATGCCGCGACTGCTTCTTCCTCCTCTTCTGATTCATATCCCTGTATTTCTTCTTCAAATACTGCATCAAACTGGGGCTTTGGCATTAAAGCCGGTCTTCTTATTCTAGCTGTGTGATCCTGCTTGCTTGGGGTTCCCCTCTGACCTGCAAAATCTGACAGTTTCTCTCTTCTATCTAACTGCTCCATCGGAACCATCTCCTGCTGACGATGGTTTGCTCCAAGTGAGCCTGCTCGGAGCCGTGGACTGAACATGATGGAGACCATTGAATCAGAATCACGGCTGTAATCACCTGGACAGTAACACAAAAGGGACTGGTATTATTAAAAAAAAGAGAGAGAGTATTTTATTAAGAACTATTAAAAGAAAATACTTAATATTATAGAGTATTATTCTGAGGTCATACATGTTACACTGGAGCTGTAGTTCTTGGGGCAATTACTGTAAAATAATGTACCTGTTATTATGAGGGACAATTAAAATAACCTATATTTCTTAAGTAGTGGAGAGACAGAGAGAGAGAGAGAGAGAGAGAGAGAGTGAGAGACAATGGATTTTTGGCAGCTAGTGCATTCTGTATTGGGCTTTATTTTACCCTGAAGCTTTAATAAATGAGCATACTCTGCTCCATGTTAATAGCTCTCAGTGCTGCTACTGTCATATTATCCCATGCAGGAGACTCATTCTTGTAAGTTTTAATGTTCTGCAAATTATTCATGCAGATAACCAAACCCATAATTCTGAAGCATTACAAAAAACACAACCTAGGACTGAATGACTGATGAGAGGTTTCCAACTGGAAAATTACAGGTCACCTACAATTAACAAGACCAAAAGAACCAGTTGCACTTGAAGGTTTGGCTTCAGGGCCCTTTGATTAACCTGGGTGTGTCAGAGGATGAGCCTTTTCCCTGAAGTCAAAGTTCCCTAACCTTATTAGAAACACACCCTTTGGCACCCAAGGCACTTCCATCGTCTCTGGTGCAAAACTTTTGCCTACACCAAGGTGAACTAGCCCTCTTGTCCTATTTATTTAACTAAGCAAATCTCTGCTCTTTCCTTAATTACAGGCCATCTGAAGTCTGAAGGTGTAAAAATAAATTAGCCATACTATTACATAATTACTCATAAAAAATACAGGAACCTCCAAATAAACAAAAATACATGAAGGGTTATAAAACAGATTATATCCTATTGCAATTAAACACACACATAGTTGTCTCAAAGAAAATGGATAATATGAAAAAAATATTTTCAGATTTGAAAGAGGACTGAACATAATAAGGTGGCCTATATCTATATCTAGCCAGATGGGGTAATCGGTGATACAAAGTGTCGGACATATTGGTCATAGAAATATTTACCTGTGTGAAACAGGAGAAAAATGACCATTATTTTGCAATTTGGTTAATTCGTTTTACCATGCTGCTTTGGATACTCAAGCAACCAAAGCGCCAGATCCTCACATGTATTTAGATGCCTAAGTCCCATGGGCTCTGTCAATGTGACTAACTTTCTTTGCATCTCATTGACCCACTGTGTTCTGCTGAAGTTTGTTTTGCCTTCCCTGATTATTACCAGTGGGTAGCACAAGCTTCTGATTATTGTAAACTCCCTGCATAGATTCACTGATTGTATCTTTAACACTATATGCCCTGGGCTAGATTCTCAGCCCAGCCTCAGCTGCTTTGCACCATTCCTGGGGTATGTCCCAAAGTCTCCAATGAAATAATACGAGATTTGCTAATGGCAGCGATAAGGGAAGGTTAGGCCCTAGAAAGGGATGCAATAGATCTTCATATCATAGACTGTTGTGCTGAAATATTTAACAGCTTTTAAGCAGGACTGATATCCCTTGACCCATAAATCCTGTTAGTTACCACCTGTTGTTCTATATCTCTACTTCAGAAATCTCTTTGAAAATAAATAACTTTGAAGGTTTTGGCTGGGTTCTTATCAAGTGTTCCATACTGTGTTATGCACCCAATATATGCACAACCTGAAGTGGGTAGTTTGCTTATACAGATCACACACACTTTCTTTTGTTTCAATAGGAAAAAAGAAATGGAACAGAGTAAATCATTTTGCACATGCAGGAAACAAGCAACATTTGGCTTTTCACCATTTTTCTACAAAGGTGATTAAAAAAAACAGTGTCATTCACTGCCAGATTTTTAATGTTGCCAAAAATGAATAGCCATTTTCAACAGCCACATGTGTTTCAGGAGTTCATATGTAAACGAAAAGCGGAAAGGTGTCTAGTGGTGCATGGTCTCACAGGTAGGACAATGGAAGGTGAGTTAAGAGACCTGGGTTCCATGCCTAGCTCTGACACTGGCCAGCTGTGTGACCTTGACAAGTCACATCACTGCTCTTGACCTCTGTTTCTCCTCCCACCCAGTGTCTGTCTTGTCTACTTAGATTGTAAGCCGTTCAGAGTAGGACTGCATCTTACTATGTGTATGTAAAAAGAACAGGAGTACTTGTGTTCTTTTTGCGGATACAGACTAACACGGCTGCTACTCTGAAACCTGTCATTATGTGTATGTAGCGTACATACTACAAGAGGGCCTGATCTGCTACTGTCATACCAAGAAGAAGAAGAAAATGTATATCACAGTGGAGATGAGGGAAGAGACAATAGACACTTTGGGATAGATTGTGTCTGAACCCCCAGGTGTCTTCCTGGCTCTTGAAGCAAATACAATGGACTTTGGGAAATATAAGGGGAAGCAAAAGACATTCTAGTTTTCCATCATTTAGGGAAATTTTCCGAAGTTTGGATCCTCTGGCCTACAGGGCTATAGATGTTAGAAACTTGATGTAAGTGAGAAAACTATTTAGGCAAACATTTTAACTTGCTAAAATGCAGTTTTAGTCACTAGAAAGTGTTATGTTTTCTTTTGTTTGTCACCTCACCTGTCCCTCTTTCTCCTGCTTAGTATTATTTAAATCTTTGTTGTTTATTAATAAACTTATTCTTAGCTTTACTATAAACATATCAGTGCTGTTATATTGAAGTAACGAGCAAGCCAGCAGGCTGGTCCCATGAGAGGGACTGGATACTGAAGAGATGTGTCTGGGGAACTTGAGAACTGGGATTCACTGACTGTTACGTTGCAAGGCAAGGTTCAGACTGGCAGAATCTTGAGGAGTTTGCTGGATAGTCTGGTGTGGCCAGGACCTGACCCACAGTTTAAACTCCAGCAAAGCACACCCTTGCTGAGGCAAAGGGGTAACACACTGGCTTATTGGTTCTGGGTGTCCTGAGCAGGTGACCACAGTTGGTGCCATGTAAACACCATGGAGCGACAGATAGGTGAAGGGGATGCGAGTCATTTAAAGCAACTTTGGATTTCTTAGGGGATATTGTTGTAAAATTCATGGAGCAAATTCTTGGTTTTCCACTGTATCTTTTTGGCATGGTATGCAGAGTAAAGTGTGTTTGTTACCTGTAGAAGCATCATGCCTTGCTTTTCGTCTAGCTGGATGATGAGTACCATACGGTAAAGAGAGGAAACGCACATTTTTGGTGCTAGCCTGTGTGCAAAGACAGAAAAGCATACAGTACATTTAATTGTGCCAACCTGGATTTAGAAGCAAAACCAGTTCAGCATGCAGGACATTCCAAGCTGTGCCTTTCCACTGCTCAAACTATATGGGCCAAATTCACTTTGAGATAAATGGGGGCAAGTTCTCAAGGAAGACTCTGGATTTTAATTCAATGAAAAGATAAACAATAGAGGCACTGTTCTGGCATTCAATGATGGGCCAAACCAATGTAATTTACACACCAAGGGACTGGAAATCTGGGTTGTTACAAGAATAGCAACTAGCAGCAGGACGGAGATAAGGGGTAGTGGTTATTTGGGCTTTGCTGCTTTTTGTGCTACACCTACACAGGTGTGCTACATCAATGTGAAACTAGTGTAAGTGGGTTTACACTTACACCTTCCACACCCTCAGAGCCTGATTCTGAACCCATTTACACTGGGTTTACACCAGTGCAAACAGGATCAGACATGGCCCTTGGGGTATGATCCAAAGCCAGCTGAAGGCAATGGAAAGACTCCCATTGACTTAAAAGGGCTTTGACTTAGTCCCTAGGTGCATGTTTCACTTGTTTTGTACCCACAGTGAATGGCAAAGTTAGTGCAAGTTACAGTGCTTTACCTCTTATAACCAATTACACTGTGTTCTGACTAGCATACAGGTGACATGTCACTGACATTACTGTTCACATAATTGCTGAATATGGCCCATTGTTTCCAGGTACTTTCCTCTTCCAATGCTCTGTGGGAAATATTCATTTCAATTATTGCAAAAGCAAATTAAAATTGGCTGGGTTTTGTACGCCCAGAGACAGGCAGATATTTTCATCCCCTGATCACATGATCCCAACTAGCATAACAGTTACCGGTTTCCCCCAAGGTAAGCTGTTTCCTTTCCTGACACTCTGCCTCAGGCTGTTCTGGCGATGGATGAGAATTTCTTTGGCTTGTTTCTCGCTTGTTTCTGTTGGCAGGTTGTGTCTGTTATATGACGGGGTCTGAAATAGGAAATACATGTATTTGACTCTCTTCCCAATGCACACTTGCTGTGTTGGCTCAAGCAGCGCAGTCCAGTCAAGCATGCGACTGTGATCAAGGAACTTCTCTTGCGTCCCATTCCTGGCTCTGCCACAGACTCGCTGTGAGATCTTGCACAACCTCTCTGGGACAGATCCTGGCCTTCAGTATGGCTCCCTTGTATCACTCCAGTCCCGCCCCACCTGAGCAGCTGTGAATTCCCTCGTGTGGAGAAAACCCCATGTGGTGGACAGCCAGCAAAGCCAGCTCTGCATTATCCTTACCCACATGCCACATCCTACAGAGCTGTGGCCTGGCCCAGGAGGAAAGGATTGCATAAACTGAGGGACCCTCAGGAATTAAGGAATTGCCTAGGGGGCACCTTTGCTTCCCACTCCGTTCCTGCACCAGATAGATCTCAGTCAAAACCAAGGACTGACCCCTCTATTTCTTAGGCCTGGTCTACATTAGAAAGGCAGCACAACCTGGCATTTTGTGTCCTATTGGCAAAAGTTTCCATTTAGCCAGCAGTTACTCCCCATCTCTGAGCAGCATACATCCTCTGCCAGATTAGTTCTATCAGTGCAATGCAAGGGTGGATGCACATGTGTCCATACTGGCAGAAGCTATAATGCCACAATGAAACATTACCTTCAGCAGTGTCTGGTAAAAGTTTAGTCACTGGGCCTGATTCTTTATTATCTTGGGTACCCATTTACACCTATCCAAAGTGAGTGAGGGTGGATGTTAAACTCTTTGGGCCTAACTCTCAGCTACACTGAGGCTGCTTTACACTATGCTGACATTGTAAAAGAGCCTTAAAGTGGGCATTAGTTTAACGTACACTCACTTTAAGGCTCTTTAACACTGCCAGAATGGTATAAAGTGGCTTTAATGTAAATGAGAATCAGGCCCTTCCATTCTAATTTGACAGAGATTTACACTCACTGTGCACTGCTGAATATGGCTGCAAATGGTGCAAGGCCGTAGAGAATCAGGCCCTCAGCCTGTGAAATGAGAATAATAGTTATCAACCTCATAGAGGTGTCGTGAGGGCAAATTCACTGATTTTTGTACAGCAGTTTGAAGACTTAGGGCCTGATCTCAATCCCACTTATACTGGTTTCACACTGATGCAATTCCAGTGACATTCCAGAGTTAGGCCCTCAAAGTTCAAGATAACAGGGGAAGTAGTAGTACAGTATTAAAATCCTTCATTTCCAAGAGAAGATACGGTTTCAAATACCACATAGCATGCTATAGTGCACTAATAGACCTTAAGGTAACTGATTTTGCAGACACAGGGTTCACCTCGGTAATGTGTAGGACAGATGCATATGCAACTTGCTAGTAAGAGAAGAAATACTTTTCATAAGGATAATTGGGCACAATTCAGACAACTTTAAAGAAGAATATAACATGAACAATGACCTGTTATAAAATGATCATTCTCCAGCCCTGCATATGTTACATTAGTCAGGGCAGTTGATCAGCATAATTTCAAGGTTACTCAAGTGTACCTGCTAGCACACTTTGCCATAGGAGAGCATGACAGTGTTCAGCATTATGCTTGGTTGGTTAGTGATGCATTGGACTGGATTACACTGATGTTGCACCTTTGACCAGCATCACACTGTATTTTTACAGGATACCAAAATCATGTCCATTTTTTTTCAAAATAAATCCTTGCTGAGACCCAGCTCAGACCCAGCTCATGGAAAAGCTTACAAGACGAGGCTCAGGGTGGGAGGGAGTTCTTCCCCTATCATCCTATCGTGAGGGCAGGGTTTGCCTCCCACACAGAACAAACCATGAGACCTGCCCCCCAAATCTGGCAAATCTACGTAGGTCCTGTGCCTCCACAACAGCACTGGCCTCTAATGGCCCTGCTGCTCCTTCATAGGGCAGGGCCATTGAGATTAGAATAATATCAGTTTTAAACCTACTCTGCAGATGGTTTGCTTTAAAAAGTGTAACTGCTGCACATGTTCAGGTAAATACCATTACTCCTAAATTCCATCTCAACTCCATCTCCTCAGTTGCCATGGGAATATTCTACAGGTCTGCTGCTGCCCTCACAGGTCACAGCTTGTGTGTGACTAGAGAGAGAGAGGGCATGGAAAGTTAAACTAGATAAACTAGGTGTTGGGCAATATCAGAAAGGAGAACATTCCTGAGTCATGGAGATTTTTACAGCTAGGGAAGCCTGACCTCTAGAGCTAGTTTCTGGATTTTCTTGTCCTGTTACATTGCAGATCAGACATCAGGGTGAAAAGCTAGAAGTCAAACTCCCTTTTACTTTTTGTACTGTGGGATCTGAGCGCAATGGGCCAGATCCTCAGCTGATGTAAATCAGAGCACCTCCATTGAAATCCAATTGACACCAGCTGAGGATCTGGCTCAGTATTTCCCATTAACACTGTTTCATGGTTCAGCTGAGAAGAACAATACTATCTTTGCAGCTACCATTGGCTGTTGCTATGATGTTGAGGAGGGCAAACATGATCTTTTGATCTACGAGTACAGAGCTTTGTTACAATAGTCACGTACACACCCTTTGTCGTACTTGATACAGACTATGTGCCAGCATATCCCGCATGGACTCCACCTCTTCAGGGGAAAGCCTATGCATTCTTTGATTTCTATAGCTCCTGTAAATAGAAGGGAAAGGTAAACATTATACTAATTTGTACAAATCACACAGGAATTATCTTTCCTATAAAATTATTTATTTTCTTATGTTATTATTGTGATGGGCTCAGGACTCCAGCACCCTGTCTTGCTGAGCCAGACACTTCCGTCTGGCTCCAACACAGACCCAGGGTCTGAATCACTTGTCCCAAAGCTGCAAGTTTACCTGAAAACAGCTCACAGAGGTGTGCTTGTCTTTAGCACTCAGATGCCCAACTCCCAATGGGGTCTAAACCCAAATAAATCTGTTTTACCCTGAATAAAGCTTATGCAGGGCAAACTCATAAATTGTTCGCCCTCTATAACACTGATAGAGAGATATGCACAGTTGTTTGCTCCCCCAGGTATTAATACATACTCTGAGTAAATTACTAAATAAAAAGTGACTTTATTAAATACAGAAAATAGGATTTAAGTGGTTCCAAGTAGTAACAGACAGAACAAAGTAAGTCACCAAGCAAAATAAAATAAAATGCGCAAATCTATGTCTAATCAAACTGAATACAGATAATCTCACCCTCAGAGATGCTTCAGTAAGCTTTTTCTCAGACTGGACAACTTCCAGGCCTGGGCACAATTCTTTCCCCTGGTACAGCTCTTGTTCCAGCTTAGGTGATAGCTAGGGGATTCTTCATGATGGCTCCTCTCCCCCTCTGTTCTCTTCCACCCCTTTATATATCTTTTGCATAAGGCGGGAGCCTTTTGTCCCTCTGGGTTTCCACCCCCCCTCACTGGAAAAGCACCAGGTTAAAGATAGATTCCAGGTCAGGTGACATGATCACATGTCACTGCAAGACTTCATTGCCCACTTGCCAGCACACACATATACAGGAAGACTAACAGGTAAACACAGCTATCTGCAGAAATGGTCCTGGTTAATCGGAGTCATCAAGATTCCAAACTACTATTAATGGACCACACTTTGCATAATTACAATAGGCCCTCAGAGTTATATTTCATATTTCTAGTTTTAGATACAAGAGTGGTACATTTCTACAAATAGGATGATCACACTCAGTAGATTATAAGCTTTGTAATGGTACCTTACAAGAGACCTTTTGCATGAAGCATATCCCAGTTACATTATATTCACTTATTATCATGTTTTTATAAAACCATATAGACTGCACAACGTCACAATTATTTCTAGAGCACTGCAGGTGTGAATGGCAATTTTCTAACCAATGAGACTAAAGAATCAACGAAAGCTAAAAGAGAAAACTTCCTAGGTTTTTTTTTTTTTAATTTTTGCACTTTGCATCATCTTTTGAAGAAAGAACATAAGAACAGCCATACTGGGTCAGACCAAAGATCCATCTAGCCGAGTATCCTGTCTTCTGACAGTGGCCAATGCCAGGTGCACCAGAGGGAACGGACGAAACAGGTAATCATCAAGTGATCCATCGCCTGTTGCCCATTCCCAGCTTCTGGCAAACAGAGGCTAGGGACACCATCCCTGCCTATCCTGGCTAATAGCCATTGAGGGACCTATCCTCCATGAACTTATCTAGTTCTTTTTTGAACCCTGTTATAGTCATGGCATTCACAACATCCTGTGGCAAGGAGTACAAGAGACTGACTGTGCATTGTGTGAAAAAATACTTTCTTTTGTTTGTTTTAAATCTGCTGCCTATTAATTTCATTTGGTGACTCCTAGTTCTTGTGTTATGAGGAGTAAATAACACTTCCTTATTTACTTTCTCCACACCAGTCAATATTTTATAGACCTCTGTCATATCCCCCCTTACTCGTCTCTTTTCCAAGGTGAAAAGTCCCAGTCATATGGCAGCAGTTCCATACTCCTAATCATTTTTGTTGCCCTTTTCTGAACCTTTTCCAATTCCAATATATCTTTTTTGAGATGGGGTGACCATATCTGCATGCAGTATTCAAGATGTGGGTGTACCATGGATTTATATAGAGGCAAAATGATATTTTCTGTCTTATCTATCCCTTTCCTAATGATTCCTAACATTCAGTTTGCTTTTTTGACTGCTGCTGCACATTGAGTGGATGTTTTCAGAGAACTATCCACAATGACTCCAAGATCTCTTTCTTGAGTGGTAACAGCTAATTTAGATCCCGTCATTTTATACATATAGTTGGGATTATGTTTTCCAATGTAAATTACTTTGCATTATCAACATTGAATTTCATCTGCCATTTTGTTGCCCAGTCACCCAGTTTTGAGAGATCCTTTTGTCACTCTTCGCAGTCTGCCTGGGACTTAACTATCTTGAGTAGTTTTGTATCATCTGCAAATTTTGCAACCACACTGTTTACCCCTTTTTCCAGATCATTTATGAATATGTTGAATAGAACTAGGCCCAGTACAGACCCCTGGGGGACATCACTATTTACCTCTTTCCATTCTGAAAACTGACATTTATTCCTACCCTTTGTTTCCTATCTTTTAACCAGTTACCAATCCATAACAGGACCTTCCCTGCTATCCCATGACAGCTTACTTTGCTTAAGAGTCTTTGGTGAGGGGCCTTGTCAAAGGCTTTCTGAAAATCTAAGTGCACTATGTCCACTGAATCCTTGTCTACATGCTTGTTGACCCCCTCAAAGAATTATAGTAAATTAGTGAGGCATGATTTCCCTTTACAAAAACCATGTTGACTCTTCCCCAACAAATTATGTTCATCTATGTGTCTGACAATATTGTTCTTTACTATAGTTTCAACCAGTTTGCCCAGTTGAAAACAGCTAAAACATCTATTAACATATTGTGAAGATAAATAAGGTGCCATTCACTTTACAATAGAAGCCAACCTTTCCTTTTTAAGAGTTAACAAGGAAAGTCACCTTCCACACAGTGGGTCTTGAAGGAAAATGTTAAACTATGGAAGCTGGTTGATCTGAAATGCTAACTGGATATGCCAGGTCAACCTCTGTGAGAGCCTCATCATATACCATATCATATTTATTTGTCTATCTTTTCCCTCATATTAAGTGATGTAATTGTGGTAAATGGTTTGATTAAAGGAGGGTTTCCTTTAATAACATTATGACAGGATTGTGCTTTCAGTTTCCCTTACATTAGCAAAAGAATACAGCCTTTAATATCAAAAAGAAGCTGTGTCTGGAGTAAACTAAAAACTGTTATATGATTCATGACTTGGGCCAGAGCACTGACATTCAGATATGTATCAGTTTAGGCTAGGGTTTGGTATTCAGGTTCAGTGCAGAATCCAGGCTACGGTATGGTGGCCGTATGATTGTCAATTACAGCTAATTTCACAAAATTGCCACCATTCGTTGCAATTGCAAAATTGCCACCTTCTTCAAAGGACAACCAGAAATAAGGCCTTATCGGGTTTTGCATCTGTGATAAATGAAGGGTGGGTAGCTCCCATTTATGGACACCCAGCCAGCCAGTTAGCTGTAAAATCCCTTTTGGTAGCTGTTCTCTGCTTGCTTTACCTGTAAAGGGTTAAAAAGCCTCCCTGCATAGGTACAAAAAAGGGAAAAAAAGGGGAAGTGGGCACCTAACCAAAAGAGCCAATGGGAGGGCTAGAACTTTTTAAAATTGGGAAAAAACTTCCCTTTGTTGTCTGTTCTCTCTGGGCTGCAGGGACCCAGAGCAGCCAGGCTATAAGCAGGAATGCTGTGTAAGGTTTGAACCAGGTATAAAAAATTATTTTCCATACCTAGAAAGAATCATTGGGGACTGGGAATGTTTAGATAGATACGATCAGGTTTATTTCTTTATTTTGGCTTGTGGATCTCCTCTGTGCTAACCCCAGATGCTTTTGGTTGCTTGTAACCTTTAAGCTGAACCCTCAAGAAAGCTATTTTCGGTGCTTAATTTTTGGAATTGCACTTTTAAAATCTAGCAAAAGCCTAAGTTCCAGATGTATTTTCTTTCTTTTTGTTTTTAATAAAATTTACCTTTTTTAAGAACAGGATTGGATTTTTGGTGTCCTAAGAAGTTTGTGCATGTTGTTCGATTAGCTGGTAGCAACAGCTAATTTCCTTTGTTTTCTTTCTCAGCTCTTCCTCGGAGAGTGTTTGTGTGAAAGGGCTTGAGGGTACCCCACAGGGAGGAATTCCCAAGTGTTCCTTCCTGGTTCCCAGGGTTTTTTTGCATTTGGGTGGTGGCAGCATTTACCAAGCCAAGGTCAGAGAAGATCTGTAACCTTGGGAGTTTAATACAAGCCTGGAGTGGCAAGTATTCATTTTTTGAATCCTTGCAAGCCCCCACTTTCTGCAGTCAGAGTGACAGAGTGGGGATTCAGCCCTGACAGCATCCAACCTGAAACCAAAGCCATAGGGATAGGTTTGGGTTCAGGCATTTGAATCTGAACACTGCCAAAATTCAAATGTGTTGAAGATCCAAAGTGGCCCATCTCTAGGAAATGGCCAGTTGTTGAGATCAAGTGTTGTCTATATGTAGTGATCCAAAATATATCACAGGTGAAAAATGGCAAGTTAGAAAAGGAACAAGTCAGCCATAAAAGATGCAACATTTATAGAAAAAGCCCCATATTTTTAAAAAGTAACTGTTTAAATAGTCTATTTTAATAAATAAATAAGACACATTTAGCCTGGTCCCCTGTCTAGGGACTTATAAATGCACACATCAGAGCTCTAAATTGGGAAGATGGGCTTGTGGTTTGTTCCAGTGACCATTTAAATTGCTAATGGTTTTTTGAAGTGGCTGCTTTTAAACTCTCTGTGGACCACTGTCAAGTGGTCCACACACTACCAATGGTCCATGAAACGTAGTTTGACAACTGAAGTCCTATGCAGTACAATCCCCTCATGGCTGATGCCACAAAGAGTAGCTGCTTCTCTATCCACTTCTTGTCCAGGCCTGCCCTCCCTAGACCTATGGAACCAGAAGCCTGTGGTGCACCTGCAGAGGGATTTTATATCACAGAATTGGAAAAAGGGTTGGGAAAGTATAGAGAAGAATGGTATCATGTAGAGATCACTTCATCCTGCTACTTTCCCCACTCCAGATCAACCCAATCTGGCTCCCCCCTGCATGCAGATGTAGATGGAATATCAAGCCTTAAATCATCTCAGTGGTTGTTATCATTTCGCTCTTTAGGTGACTCAAATAAAATGCCCTCAGTTTCAGCTGAACTGAAATAGCAATAGAACAAACAACATGAAGATTATCTGTATTGTTCTAAAGCACAAATAAAAAGCATACTCTTTGCATGGGATTAGCCATTAACCTGCCACATTGATAACAGTGAGTCTACCTGGGGAATGGAGAAAAGGTTATGTTTTCAGTTTAATAAGCACTCCTTTAATTAATATTTCACAATATACAATATATTTCAAAACCTGCTTTCAGCTAAAACAAGTTTGACTTGTTACCAACCCCATAAAATCATCTTTATTAAAATTCTTTCTCTGATACTTATTGCAACTTCCTGCATTTTACTTGCAGGGCCCAGTCCAGGTGTTTTATTTGCAAAAATATTACTGAGATTATATCATTTTGGGTGCATAGCAATTGGCTATAACTCTGGGTTGGCCAAAAAAAATCTATTCCGATCACAAATGAACCCAAAATACTGGCCGCATTTGTTCTAAAAAAATAAAGCTAGTTAAAAAATAAAAACCAAATTCCCCAAAAATCCTTATCTAATTTTTTCCACATTTTTTGTTACATTTTGAACTTTCCGTACTCTCCATCCAGTTCTACTACGAAGAAAGTAGCATCCTAGTGGGATAGCGCTTATGTAATAGTGTCACTGGCAATGAAAACACTCAGTCTGATTCTGAGCCTGCTTACACCAGCGTACATCAAGACTATCTCCCCTGATGTCCAAAGAGTCACAGCAGTGTGAAACCAGCAAAAGTGAGTTCAAAAGAAGCCCATCCTGTCTTTCTTATGATTAAAGTATATTGTCTAAAATAGAGCCATAGAAATGTGGTATCTGCAGCATCTGCTTGGATGTGCTTTGCCTTTTGAAATCCCCATTTCTAAGGCTTATGTTCTCTAAGCCAGTATAACTAAGGTGCTATATTTTATCTCAAATCTAGATGCTTTGTTGCGCAGTCAATGGACAAATACTTAATGCATAGTCAACCTGTAGGAATCCCACTGACATGAATGGAAGTTCTGAGCCTGGAGCGAATCCAGAAGGCTCAACTGAGATCTGCCCTGATTGCCAGAGAGATTTCTTCCCCTTGTCTCTAAAGCATGAAAACCCCAGATAGCAATGATATGCCTGTGCAACTTATCAAAAGAGCTGAGGAGAAATGTATCATGTTATTATTGCATTGCAAATGTGGCTTTATATTAAATGCATCAGAATTTCTTTCCAAACCCCCCAGTTTCCAGGATTATTTATTTAGGACCAGATTTTGCCACCCTCACTCACATTGAATAGTGCCTTACACTACAAGCTGTTTCACTGAAATCAATGGGATTACTCACTCTGATACCATGACCTTCAGTAGCCCCTTTCTCCTCAAGCAGTCCCACTGGCTGCTTAAAAAGTAAGGGACTATTTACTGTGAGTAAAAAATATCAGAATCTGGCCTAGAGTAAGATCCAATTCCACCTGAGCAAACTATTTATTCTAGAATGATATTTTTCATCCTACAAACTCAGTTCAGGAGTGAATTTATAAAACTACATGCAATCGGTTGGTCTTATGTTTTTAAAGAAAGTAAATAAAAATGTTTGCGTGTCACAACTTTTCTTTCAAACTTCCTTTTTGTATTATCCACATGCAGCTCAGAAATATTTCTGACATACAGTAAAAGGAAAATTCACAGAGATCATGACCATATGCTTCCTTTAATGTTATCCTCTCACCAAAAAAAATGATTTAGAAAAAAATTGACCAGCTCTTAAATTACACAATGATACAAGAATTCAGAACAAACAAATGAATTTTTACACGATCAAGATAAACAGTTTAAAGAGTGACCCTGGTAAGGTAACTTTTTTCTTAGGTGAGATCTTTCAAACACTCCCATGCACATACTTGTGTGCAGTCACATTGAGGTCAGTGGGTCTGTGCATAAGAATAATTATGTGCATTGGAGTGAAGGTTTCCATGATCCAGCTCTTTATATTTTATAAGGTTTTATCCAGAATTCAGTTTTACTGATCTCAACAAAGGAACTGTGTTGCACTGAGGGTATTTGCCCCATTGATTTCTATAGGGATTATGTTTGTTTTTCACCAAGTCTGTTTCACATAGCCTTCCACTGCCTTTCAATTGGCTCCTCTGTTTAGGGGAGAAGGACAGACTCAAACCTTCTATGTATCTCTGGGGGTTGGTTCAGCGTGCTGGAGGGAGCAGACTTCACTATCCCAGCACATGAAGCCATTAGCCCACTTTTGCTATACAACAGGAAGCTCCCCCTTGGGCACCCACTAACAAAGGCCTTTGGCTAATTGGCACTATTTAGCCTGTTAGTTAAGAAAACTAGAGATGGCCAATAGGGTAAAGTAAAAAAACTAACCCCACCCTATCCCAGTCTGTCAAACCAAACATTTTTGGAGGTTCAGAAAGCATGTTTCATTATTTTTTTAGTCTCTCTCTGCACCTGATACTCCTGGGGGAATTCTGTGCACCTGTGCAATGCAGAATTTTGTAGAAATTAATGTTGTGCGTGCAGAAGTTCCTTTCCCCCATAGAAATGTGCTAGCCGCCACTAGGGCCACTGGACTTGGCAGATCCCAGCTTGCACATAGAAGACCCTGCTGGGGGGCGGGGAGGGAGCTAGAGTGTTCCTGGCAGCTGCAGTTCCCAGCATGCCCTGAGGGAAGGAGAAGGCAGTGCACAGGAAACTCTGTGCAAGCCTGGGACCGAGCATCAGGCTATTTCTCCCTCTGGATCCCTGGGCTCTGGGGGGGAGGGAGGGGAAAGGAGTGAGGGAGATGGGTGTCTGGACAAGAGGGGGGCGAGCTGGGCTCTGTGGGGAAGAGGATGCGGTTATCTGGGCTCTGTGGGAGTATCTGAGTTGGAGGGGCCCTACGATTGGGCTCTGGGGAGAGGGGGGTTCAGGTGTATTGGCTGGGGGGCCCCTGCAGGGGGACTCTGGGGGGGAGGGGTTGTGGGTGTCTGGCCCTCCCTACTAGGCTCTGGCTGGGGGGCGGGGGAAGGGGAAGATAAACAGGAACTGGGTTGTCATAACAATTTCTTTAACTCTCTACTCCTGGGGGAAATTTTGTGTGTCTATATATTGTTGTAAACATACTTACTGACCGGTATTTTGAAACAAATGACCAAAATAATTGAAACTGGTGTGATTCTGTAGTCTTATTTTGACAAATAAAATTTGCAGAATTTTAAAATATTGTGCGCATAATTTTTATTTTTTTTGGCCCAGAATGCCCCCAGGAGTAACCTGAGTTCTGGCCAAGACTAGAAGCTGAAGTACCAAAATACTACAAGAAAGCCTGTCCTTATGGCATTCTGACCCAGTCTGAAGTAGCAACTTACAAGAGAGCCTGGTCTCATGAGAGCTATACCCAAATTTACAGATCCCAGAATTCTGGTTACTAATCTGAACTGAGGGCCAGACAAACCAGTACGCTCCTTTCCTTTGTGTTGCACTTTCAACACAAAGCAGCCCCAAACCAGAATTTACTGGCCAGTTAAATGAAGCATATGGCCTCTTTGCATCACTGGAGCAGTGCAAAGCAATCAGCGAGTACCACTGAGTCTAGACCTGAATCTCCAGGCCTTTGCAGGCTTCCCTGTCACTGCTGAAAAACATGGGTGAAGAGGCAGTCTTTTCCCTCTTTGTAAACTCAGAACTATCGCTGAACATTTCCTTTCCTATGGAACATGTCAAGGTCCCAGCACCAAACAGTTATTCCTCCCCTCCCAGTACCTTGTTCTTGTCACATTTCTTTTAAAGTCCTTGTCTCCCTCAGCTATTTCTTCATATTCCCCCGTCCCCCTTCCTCCCTCTCTCCCATTTGGTAAGCTGTAATGAAGCTGATACTCACTGGAGAGAAGCTGTCGATGCAGCTGAACTTATCATCCCACTCTCTGCCATCTCAATGGCCTGTTTGATTTCTAGTTTCTTGTACAGAGATACAATGCTGGATTTGGGCTGGTTCTCCCGGATCAGGATTTTCTTTAGATATTTAGTGTCAAACTTTTTAAATCTATGAAACAGAAATTAAAAGCAAATGTAAAAAGGAAAGGAGTCTATCTTCCTCTCTGATAACATCCATCAAATATATATATAATTGCAGGTCGGAAACTGAAGCCAAATTGTAGGCACCCGTGGCGTGCTGAAGGACCAGCGAACCTGTTGGAGGACAAAGGGCATGGCCTACTGGTCCACAGAGATGGTAAATCTGCTATACAAAAGAAAGAAACAAGCTGCAATCATCTCAAAAAGAAGGTTGGGTGAGTGTTAGCATATAGCATCGCCACAATTGTACGAAAAGAAAAAAGGGGCCAGTCTTTCATGCTTTTGTACAAATGTTGTATGCTAATAAGGTATAACAGCAGCAGCTGCACTTACAGCAACGCTGGCCTATTCAGCCAGACACCAATAATGTTCTAAATGGCCCAGTAGTTAGGTCCCATTATGTTGCTGATCATTTTAAATCCTGACAATTAGGGGAAAATATATATGTCCTAATATTCTGAATGCCAGAGAAATTGAATGGACTGCAAAATGATGTCTGTATGCACGCTGCATATTATAATATACCACTAATG